GGAATGCATGCCAGGAAGAGAAGCTCGCCTAAGCATGTAGCAACGATGACAGATAACAGATGGACGAAACAGATAGCTGCATGGTACCTGAAATTATTAAAAAAACACCAGAAAAACCACTGACAAGCAGGGCCAGGCCTAGTAACTCGAATTTATGGAGTGGTATCGATTTGGGCAGCAAAAAACCGTAGTAAATAATGCCAATAATAAGCAGATTGTAGCAACCAGGTTGACCTTGAAAGCCAAAATGGCAAAGGCGGAAGCAGAATACAGCTTGAGAGGAGGTAAGAGTGAGATAAGACGTTTTGGTCCATTAAGTCATCTACGTCTTAAATCGATATCGCAACAGGACCTTGTCAGTATGACGGCCACAATGCTTAATAGAAAAGGAAAAGAGAAATACTACAGAAAGAAGCAGAAGGAAAGACAATATAACAATGGGATTAGATGGAGTAAGAGTGGGGTGAAAGAAGAAGGAAGGAAAAGATTTCTAAAAAAAGTGTTTTAAAAAGTTTTAATGAAATTCTAAGAAAATTCCTCAATTCTAATAATAAATTTCCCGACTCTAATTTTCCTCGTAAAAATCACCAACAAATAATGAGGAGAAGCAGAGAAAAGAAGAATTTGGGAGGTAATACGCGAAATACAGAAACAAATCTGAATAATGCATGCAAAGTACCGATATGCCCCCGGTTATGGCGCACATATGTGCCACCAGGGAAAAGCTGGTAACTGGTGAAAGTGGAGTATTAGTGAGTCAATTTACCCGCAAAAAACCACCACTTGGATAGCTGCCAAAAAGATGGCACATACAAATGCGTACATTGAAGAGATGACTGATACTAACTAAAGATATGTAGCTTTGAGTTGAAGGAATCCACATAACTGTGCTGAGAAACAGAAATCAGAACGGGGTACCAAAAATTTGGAAAAAAAAACATGCCAAAAAAAGTTAAACTCAATATTTTGCAAACAAAAAAATATGATAAAAAATGCTGCAAATTAGGGGACGAAAAAATCAATATTAAAAAAAAAAATCAAAAAAACCATACTTAAAATCTCGCAATTAAAAAAAACAAATTCTTTTATGGCCAAAAAAAATACTGCAAATTATGAGACAGAAAAAAAAATTCGTTTAAAAAACTAACTTTTTTCTCATCTTCTGCTGCATCCACCAATTTACGATCCAAAAGGTCCACT